TGGCAGTGGCCTGGGATGTTACCTAAAAGGTCTAGAATGTCCCCATATTTCTGGCCTCTGGTGAAAGAGCACCTTGTGGCTAAAAGAATGCAGAGGAAATCTCCATTTTTATTTCTTTTATTACTCCTGGCTGCTCCAAGGTGGTCTAAGCAGAGAACTGTATGAAGCAATGTGATGGCCAAATTGCCAGGAAAACCCCCAATTTTCTTGCTAGATGACTTGGGAAAAGGGACCTCAGTGGGGAAGATAGTATTGAAGAATGCTGGAGAGGAGAGAGCTAGAGAAGGGGGTCCCTTTAATTCTGTGTATGAAGTTATGTAAGTCCCAGGTTCATATTGAACTACAGGTAAAGGATAGACCCAGTGCAGCTTAGCAAAGCCTTTGAAAATGGGACCAAGATAAAAACAACCACCCACAGAAGAAGTGAAAGGACTTGTGGTCTGAACCTAGCCAGGGTGATTTCTTACCAAGCAAACAAAGAAAAAAAATTTCTCCAGAGGATTTGACTATGATTAAGAGTCTAAACTGCATAATATCACAAACTTCTGGGATATAATCTGAAATTACTCGACATACAGAGTACCTAGAAATGTGACCAATTCTTATGGGAGAAGACAATTAAGATGGCAATTCTGAGCTGTTGGAATTAACAAACAACTTAAAACAGTTATTAATAACTCTGTTATATGAAGTAAAGATAAACACGTGAAGTAAATAGATAAAAGTTCTCAGCAAGAAATAAATTTTTTTAAAAGAACCAAATAGACACTGTAGGACTAAAAAAATACAGTATCTGCAATAAAATAAATAAATAAATAAATAAATAAATAAATAAATAAATAAGCAAGCTCAATGGCAGAGTGAAGATGACAGAGGTGAGAGTCAGTGAACATGAAGATAGATAAATGGGAATGATGTAATCTGAAGAACAGAAAGATTAAAGAAGAACCAAATAGAGGCATGTGGAATAATATCAAAAGGTCTAACTTTTGTCCCCTGGAGTACCAGAAGGAGAGGAGGAAATTGACAAGTACAGAAAAATTGCCATAAATTCCCCAAATTTGGTGAAAGACATAGTTTATAGATTTGAGAAGCTCATCAAAGCCAAAATAAGGTAAACTCAAAGAAAACCATGCCTAGACACATCATACTCACACTGCTGAGAATTAAAGATAAAAATATAATATTAAAAACAGTTAGTGAAAAATGGCATATTGCATATAAAACAGTGAATCAAATGACCACAGAGACTGCATTAGAAATTGAAGTAATAATGGCTGTATAGGGATAGATAAGAAATAATACATAAAGCACTTAGCATGTAAAAGACACAAATGATATTGATTCTCATAGTAAATCTACATTTTGGCACCTCACATTTATCTATTCTGATGTACCATTTATTTCTCACTCTATTTCTTCAACCTTCTCATGGTTACCCCTATGTGATTTGATCCCAAGAACTGGATGCAAATATACCTTTGATATTATTTCTTTCTATTTATCCCAAATCTTTTGTTATTGTTGAAATGAGAATCTCTGCTAATTCATGTCTTGTTCTTAAACAAATTTTAAAAACTCTGAATGTTTCCTCAATCACTACATATAGTAATGCATTTTAAACTGTCTTACAGGGATATTGTGAAGATCAAATGAGAAATAGAAAAAATATATACAAATTCCTGTGACCAACTAAAACACTGAAAATCATATATTTCAGAAATAGTACCAGCATAGAAGTTCTGACAGCCTAATTCTTGTGGCCACTTATATGAGAAAGTATTTTAGAGAGATGGCTTCCCCCATTTTCACAGAGGTTGATAAGGTTGGGGATGTGTCAGGAAACCATGTCATGCTTTGTTAGTTGACTCACAGGTTAGGCTAAGCAGTCACCACATGAAACCCTTACAGCCTTTAGGGAAGCATTTCTGGCTGTTGTTTGCTACATTATCAGCCCTTAATGATTAAATCCTGCTTCTAGCAAAACAGCACATTCTAACCTCTGTCTTCTCCTTCGCACAGGAAACTAGGGGTAGTGAAGTGAAGGCATAAAAAATTAGATTGAAAGTAGGATTCAGATGAGTACTTGGAACTAGCAGAACCAAAATGGATCTGAAAACCTGGTGTTCCATGAGTGTTTATAAATCTGCCCTACCCGACTTCCCAAAGGTCATGAGCAGTAGCACACAAAATGTCCACAAGGGATGTGATGTGTGAATTGGTCTCTTGACTAAACTCTTAGTCATGGAGTGGGTGGAATCATCACCAAGAAGCAGCACTAGGCAGCCTCGGGCTGTAGGAAAATGTGAACAATGGATGAAAGAGAAGTTTTCTATGAATAAAAGACATCTCCATATAATGATGCTATCATTCAAAGGCTGAGAAAGATTAGGAGTCTTGAATAGAGACCCCACAGATGAGAGACGCTTTTTCAGAGTTTTTTAAAATTCTTGGCCAATATTTTTTTTAAAAAGATCATAGGTTCCTTGGGCTTTGTGATTCTCTGTTTTTTAATGTAAGGCAGCAAAACAGAGTGGGAAAATGTGGGGCCTGCGACCAGTGTGGGTTCTGTTTGCTATCCGTAGGAACAAGATCTGGCTTTGATACTATTGTAATTTAGCCTAGTTATTAATAAATGCAAAGGGGCAAAGGGAAGGCCAAACATTATAGCCATTTGTGCAGCTTTGCTAGGAAGCTGCAGTTTAGATGCATGCTCAGTACATTCAAGGAGAAATAGGGAAGGCACCTGTCTGTTAGTCAGACCTGGGAACAGGTCATTGGCCAGAGTAGGCACAGCCACTACAAGCATGGGAAGATATAAGGTGTTTAATCTCCTAAACAAAGGAGTTCACTCTCCTGGTTCATGCTCATGCGCTTTTGTGTTTTGGGGACTCTTGTTGCAGTCAGTAAGTTCTCTTGGCTCCCCTGCATTCACCCACATGGCTCATCCACACAGGACTGATGGACTGCAACTAGCCTAACGCTAAACTGGACCCCGCTTCACTGTGGAAGGAAAAGTTTGGACATTGGCTTTGCTAACTTTCCAGCTGCACATCTTCCAGGACTGGATTAAGGGAAATAGGACTTTGGAAACTAAGAGATATAATTCCATGCAAATGAAAATTTCTCATCCTCCGGTATGAGTCTCAGAAAATTCTTTTTCTCAAGATACTGTTAAGGATCTGACCCCCAGCACCAAGAGGGGAAAGCAATTCTCCACTTTCACTGATAAGAGCTTCAGTTTCTCCTATTATTAATAAAGAATAAGAAACTCCCGTGTGAGGTTTTTTTAAACCCTCATCTGAGGATTTGTTTTTTTTGTTGATTTTAGAGAGGTGGGGGGAAGAGAGAGACAGAGCAAAACATTGAAGTGAGAGAGAAATATCGGTTACCTCCCATATGCACCCCAAACCCACAATCTAGGCGTGTGCACTGACTGGGAATCAAACCACAACCTTTTGGTGCACAGGATGATGCTCCAACCAAATAAGCCACCCAGACAGGGCAGAAACTCCTGTTTTTAAAATAGGTTTCTGTTAATCTCAAATGCATATATGCATATCCTATATAATAAAAGGGTAATATGCAAATTGACCCTAACAGCAGAATGACCAGGAATGACCAGTCCTTATGATGCGCACTGACCACCAGGGGGCAGACACTCAACACAGGAGCTTAGTCATGTGCTCCTACAGGGAAGCTCCACTCAGCCACAAGCCAGGCTGACGGCTGTGAGCATAGAGGTGGTGGTGAGAGCTTTTCCCACCTCCTTGGCAGTGCTAAGGATGTTTGACGGCAGCTTAGGCCAGGAAGCAGACCTAAGCTTCAGTTGGACACCCCCTGAGGGCTCCCAGGATGCCAGAGTGATGTCTGACTGCCAGCTTAGGCCTGATACCCTGGGAACCTAAGTTGGCAGGTGGACATCCCCTAAAAGGGTCTCAAAATGCAAGAGGGCATAGGCAGGGCTGAGGGGACCCCTCCCCCCGACCCGAGTGCATGAATTTTCATGCACTGGGCCTCTGATAATAGATACTGCTGAGAGAGAAATAGGGACTGAAAGCATCTAGATGGTATGAAGTACTCCTTTTGTTACAGATAGAAAACAAAGATATGAAGAAAAATGGGGACTAGCTCCGATTTGCTGTGTCCTTGTAAAATCCAGAACACCTTACTCTGTCCTGTTAGTTTTAGAAGGAGAATGTTATAGAATAAAGTCTTCCTGCCCTCCCTAGACTTACCCTTTTTCCTTCCCTTTTTCCAATATGTCTGTACATAAGTCCCACATGTCCCCCCTCACCCCAACTCAATGGTGCATCTCTCATGGAGACCACATTAATTTTTAAAAAGTAAACAAAGTTTCATGAACTCAAAACTATCATCTCTACTCTCAATATACCATCCTATGAACAAATGATAACATCTCTGTAAGCATTAGTTTTCATCTGCAGGTGGTAAAGTCCAAAATAATATTTTTGTTAAGCTAGGTTTAACAAATCCTTTTATGTCAACAGTATTTTCCCACACTTGATTCAAATTTCCTTTTATTTTGTGGTATTATAAACCCTCCCTTTCTCTCCCCTGCCTTAGTAATTATGTATGACAATATTTCAAGATCTTCCCTCTCTCACAGTGTGCTTATTATATGTTGAAACCTTAACCCACAAAATAAATCTAATTAAAAGAAAAGAAAATATGGTCCCCTAAGAAATGGTTTTGCTAACATTTTGCTTCAAGTTAACAGACCGAGTCACCAATCAAATGCAAGATTTACCTTAATGTGATTTAGTCATTTATAAAATTTCACCAACATCAGGAAATTCCATCAAAATCATCACAGAGTAAACTAGCAGATGGATCAGTGTGCAAAGTTCAAGGCTTACGTGAAAATAGAGAACTATTAGATTAAAATGATCGACAAGTCAAGGTTGGCAGTAGGGCAGAAATAGGAGAAATACTTAAGGAAAGATGAGCATTTTTATGACAGGGAGGGGCATGCTTACCTATCTTCTGTTAGCTTCATTAGGGTTGTTCCTTGAGTAGAGAAGACAATAAAGGACATCCTTAGCTGTGGGCTGGAAAGGAAAAGAAATTCTATTAGGGCCAATAGAAAGACAATGGAATGCCATTCTCATCCAGGCTTCCTCCCTGCCCTGTCCTTTATGTGAAGGCTGCCAAAACTGAGGACTTACAACCCAACGGGCTTCCATCGTTGGTGTAAGCATTTTAGCCAGCAGCAGACTTGAAGCTATGGACCAAAGAGAAGACCCATGTTGTCTGCCTGGAGACTGCTTCTGACTCAGCACCACCACTCAGTGAGCGTGGATTATAAGGAAGAAAGCTACAATTCATCACGTCCTGTGCTCTGTCTGAAGAAGTGTGTCCCTAGGAGAGGACTTTTGTGTCTACAAAAAGGGGATTTCAATGACATAATTTGAGAGTGTCTCCGCAGTCAATCTGGCGTACCCTACAAGGAAGAGAGTGTCTCAGATAGTTGCGGCTAGTTCCCATCAGCCATTAAGATCACACATGAGCTCCTTTGGCTCTGAACGTAGGATCACCATCAGCTTTTGATTTCTACTTGACTTCCCAAGGAGGTTATCCGATAAGGGGAGAATGTGCTATGGGCCACAAGCATATCATTCCAGTTGATAGTTACATTTCTCATTAGTAATTAATATATTGGCATGATTTTATACAGTAGTATTTGGAAGCTTTGTCAATGGACAACTGATGAATTTTACCCGTTCTGGGAGTCAGAACAACTCTCAGCTAAGGACTAAATATATATGCTCCTGTCTGCAGGATGGACTGTCAGATTGCAGGGCTGTTGCTGGGAGGCCAACTGGTTCATCCAATAAGCACCAACCTATTTCTAAACAATGTAGTACCCTCCCAAACCTGCTCTAGCCCCAACTATTATAGCGCTCACTTCCTAAATGTTTCTCAAACCTGTCCCTCTTTTTTCTTCTTCTTCTTCTTCCTCTTCTTCTTCTTCTTCTTCTTCTTCTTCTTCTTCTTCTTCTTCTTCTTCTTCTTCTTCTTCTTCTTCTTCTTCTTCTTCATCTCTTAGCTTAAGAACTTGATCTCAATTATCTGACCACTACAGTTATTGTCTGGGGATGACCTTATCTATCATCATTCCTTATTCCCCTTCCCCCAGAATTGTTTTCCTAAAATATAAATCAGATGTTGTCAATCATTTGCAATAAAATCTCTAATGGCTCCTATTGCTTCCAGGATGAAATCTACATTCAATACCTGCCATATGTTTGAAGCATCTTTGGAAACTGTTAGCATGGTATTTAATGCTTGGTAGGAGCCCAAGCAGTTGTGTATTGAGTATTGGTTTCGTGAAACAGACTTAGGTTCTCTGTGCATGACACCACACTACCTGTTACTACCTCACCGGTGCTGGCCCATGTCCTAAATAACAATAATAATGATCATACTAATTTTGGCCAAACTTATCAAGTTCTTACTATGTACCCGACATTACTGTTGTTTTACCAGTATTATCTCAATACACTTAGAACAACTTTGTGAGATCAGTACTGTTATTATTCTTACTTTTCACAAAAGAAAATTGAGACCCTGAAAGATAAAGGTCACACAGTGGGAGAATGGTGGATCTGGGGCTTGAAACCAAACATTCTCATTCTAGAACTTGGGCTCTTAAGCACTAAAGGGCACTGTCTCCCTTACAGAGAGCTCAGCTCTTGGGAAGAATACAGTGCTGATGTGGGAAACGCAGGTCTCCAAGAGGCTGTTGGTGTATGAGTCTGGGCTTAGAGGCGTAATTTCAGAGTTCTCAGCATACTTAGCATGTGAGTAAAACTGTTCAAAGAAAGTGTCAACAGCAAGGAGGAATGTGAGCCAAATTTTAGACCAACCTCAGCATTTACAGGCCTGGCTCTGGTCAGTGAGATGAAAGGAGAACTGGAAGCCAAAGGAGGAGAAATTCCAAGGAAAGATAAACCTGACTCCATGGGGTTCCTCTATCCAGCTGAAGAAGCTGCAAGGCGCTCACTGGCTCTGTCCTCTAGGGCACCATGTAGAGCCTTGGCGAGAACAAGCAGCTGGAAGGTGGATATAGCAGCCAGTTGGCAGTGAGTTAAGAGATGAATAAGAAGGTAAGTGGCCAAAACCGGTTTGGCTCAGTGGATAGAGCATCAGCCTGCGGACTGAGAGGTCCCGGGTTCGATTCCAGTTAAGGGCATGTACCTTGGTTGTGGGCACATCCCCTAGGTGAAAGAGGCAGCTGATGGATGTAACTCTCTCATCAATGTTTCTAACTCTCTATCTCTCTCCCTTCCTCTCTGTAAAAAATCAATAAAATATATTTTTAAAAAAAGAAGCTAAGTGAAATAAGCCAGTCAGAGAAAGACAAGTATCAGATGATCTCACTTGTATGTGGAAACTAATGAACCAAAGACAAAATAGGTCCAGAGACTATTTCAGAGGGGGAGGGTGTGCAGTTTCACTAAAGAACTTATATGCACTTATAAGGAAGGCTGTGGAGGAGGCAGGAGTAGGGTAGAGGTGTTAATGGGAGAAGAAAGGGGACATCTGTAATACTTTCAATAATAAAGATAAATTTTAAAAAAGAATTAAGAATATGGAGACAGATAGAGTCTTTAAGGATATTTGAGTGAGAAACCAGTAAGATATGTTGGTATTGACAGGAACACATGACCAAGAGATTTGTTGTTTCTCCTTTTTAGACGAGGGGCAGTAGAGATTAATTTGTGTCTATTAACAGTGGAAATGAAGACAGGGGAAAGGTATAGAAAAACCTAAAAAAGAAATAAAGACCTGGAGGAGACTGGAAACAGTGGAATAAAATGGACTACAATGCGGGAACTGGCCTAAAGCAGTGGGGCACTTGAATCTCAGAGACGATGAGAAGGACATGCATGCATCTTGTGATAATGCATAAAACTTGAGATAATCAGTTATCTGCTATTCTCCAGGTTCCTAATGAAATAGGAAGTGAGGCTCCTTGCTGAGAGTGATGGGTGTGAGGTGTAGCTTGGAGGCTTAAAGAAAATGGTGAAGTTAGACTCACTATTAGGACAATGTGAAAGGGTTGGAATAAAGACAAATAATAGGACTTCAAGTTTCAAGGATCTCACTGAAATGAGAAATGATATACATATTTATACCATTATAAATCACTGTTATTGAATAAACTTCTCCTCTGCCATATCAGCTGCCTAAACTATTTATTACAATGAAAAATAAAAACCAGTCATCCCTTTTCTTTTTTTTTTTTTAATATATATTTTATTGATTTTTCACAGAGAGGAAGAGAGAGGGACAGAGAGTTAGAAACATTGATGAGAGAGAATCATCGATCAGCTGCCTCTTGCACACCCCCTACCGGGGATGCGCCCGCATCAAGGTACATGCCCTTGACCGGAATCAAACCCGGGACCTTTCAGTCTGCAGGCCGACACTCTATCCACTGAGCCAAACCGGTCCCGGCCCAGTCATCCCTTTTCAAAATGTACTCACTTACTCCAAATTATTGACTGATCATATACAAAGTGCCAGGCACTGTTATGTCAGGCACTCTTATTAAAATGTTGGTCTTTCAATGAAATAGTCTCTCCTGCTTGGAGTTTGCATGACAGTAATGTGTTGGTGCCACACTTGGATGGGGCCCATAGCCAGGGAGGTCAGTGTCAATAACCAGAGGAAAGTGCCTCGAGGTCTGGGTTAGGTCAAGTCAATGCTCCTCAGTTTCTTTATCTATAAAATGAGAGGATTGGATTAAGTGGTCTCATAGCTCCTCTAACCCCTCCCCTCTAACTTCCTTTGATTCTAAGACACCAAAGTGTCTGGTGTTGCTTAAGGATCTGACAAAGAGAAGTGTCTAGCACCCACTCTAAATTGGGTGCTGGGCTAGTTGGTTTGCACAAGTTTTCTCCCATAATTTTTACATGCAAACTAGGGTCCAGCCGAGTTAATTACTAGGGTTGCACAATGGAGCTTAGATTAAAATCTGCATCTGCCTAACTTCAAAGCTTCTCCCAGTAGATTCCTCCATTTCAGGAGGAGCAGAAGGCCAGAAGGGCAGAGACATAGCAGATACTGTCTAATGTCTGGAGCTGATTTGTTTTCTATCACTCCGCAGGATAGATGGGTAAAGCGCAGGAGAGGATACTTTGGCCCGATGACAAAAAGACCTTTCTGGAAACTGGAACTGTCCAATGGGCAGCAGTTTCTCACCAAAGCTATTAAAGTTGAGAGGGAATGCCTCTTGGAATAGATAAATCAGTAGATTGTTCCTTTCAATTCTAAACTTCTAGAAGTCTCTTAAATATTTTGCATTTAATGCCACCTGTGTATCTGCTTCTTTTTTTTTCTCTCAACTTCCCGACTTCCCATTCTCCTCTCTCCTCTCAGCATCTGTTTTCCTCATTTATCAGGGTGTAGCTGCTTCCTGCTGCAGCTTCCAATTTTTGGTATCACAGAGAGGGTATATCCCTCCAAACTGGCAGGCAGGTACATGTTGAGATTGTTAACTGAATTTGGAGAGAACATGTTTGTCATCACCCTGATCTCAGAGAAGAACTGTCTTCTGTGATAAAAAAAAAAAAAAAAAACATTCAAAAAGTGTATGGTTACTCATATTGGCTGGAAGACTTTACAGAGGCCATCAGCAGGAAAGGAGCTGCTTTATTATTATTTTTAATTTTTTAAAAGTTATTTTTAGAGAGAGAGGAAAGAAGGGGGGAGGAAGGGAGAGAGGGAGGAAGAGGAAGATGAGGAGGAGGAGGAGAAGAAGGAGAGAGAGAAGAGAGAGAGAGAGAGAGAGAGAGAGAGAGAGAGAGAGAGAGAGAGAGAGAGAGAGAGAGAGAGAGAGATCGGAGTGAGAATGAAAAATCAATTGGCTGCCTCCTGTACACTTTCCTACCATGGATGAAGCTGCTTGGGAATGGAACCCACAACATTTTGGTGCATAGGATGATGCCCAACCAACTAACAGAGCCACTTTGGCCAGGATGAGAGGAGCTGCTTTAGAATTTACAATTGGAAACAATTTTACCAAAGACCTTGACAGCTGGCTTCAATGAAAGCTATTACAGTTGCTTATCCCAAGGAAGTTGAAATTGCCTTCTTTCCTTCACTAGTGGGTGTCTATACTTATTGGAAAATGGGACCTCCAAGATCCCTACAATGTTTAGAATGATGATGTTCAAAACTGCATTGTCCTCTCTAGGAAAGCAGTGTTGAGAATGCTTAGAGAATTCCACCTGATAGGGCACATGGCGAGTTTGCCCAGGAATGAGGGAGTTTCAAGAATGTGAGACTTTCAGTGCTAAAACTAGAAAAGTTCTGGGAAAACTGGGATGATTTGGTCACTTTACATATACCTATACTCCCTCCTACAATGAGCCAATGGCTCCAGCTTGCTACACTGTGCAACCTTAATTATCCTTCTAGAAGAATGTATTCTTCAGCAAGAGAGGGACAAGGTTAAAATATTGGTCTTTCAATTAACTCGGGGTCCTCTTGAAAACATGAAGCTAATAGTCTAATATGTGGCAAAGACAAAAACAAAGTCTCGTCCAAGATTTGAGGGTCTACCTTTGTCAAAAAGTATCCTTGAAGTAGTAATTTGTAGAATAGCAAATACAGGCCAGCTTTGCTCATGGCAAAGAACTATGCATGTGTTTCTTACCTGATGAACTTATGAGCCAACTGTTCCACAAAGTAATAGATCTCATTCCAATGGTGCATCACACTTCCTGATCTAGGAAAACAAAAGCAGATGTTACTTAATCAGGTATTCATTTGCCTTTACCTTTCATCATTTCTTTTCATATTCTATTAATTGATGCTGGACCTATCTATTAACTGGGTTAATTCTCTGAAACTTCTGTAAGTTTGGAAATTATCTGAAATGGTGTTTAGAGTTAATGTTAGAATTCTTAAAGGTTTTGTTAAAGAACTCCTTCACTGCACTTCCCACTCCTTCCCATTCCCATGCCACACACTCATTCTCTAAAACAAACAAACAAACGAACAAACAACAAACAAACCCGGGGCTCAATCAGACTTATAGGTTAGTTTCAAATCTTTAAGAAACTGTTATTTTTGTGTGTTATTTAAATTACTCTTTCATAAGAGAAAGAAGACAACACCAATTTAGTTGAATGAGATTAGCACAAATTATATATATTATATATATATATGCAAATTTTCCAAAGAAAATGTTAGCAAAATGAATCCAACAGGAATCCAAAAGAATAATAATTGATTGATTGGCAACATTTATTTCAGGGGTGTATTGATAGTTTGACATGTAAGGAAATCTAGTGTAACTAGTCATTCTAATAAATAAAAGAAGAATAACTACACAGCCTTTTATTTATTAAAAAGGAAATCCCTTACTGGAGAAAGAGGGAAATATTCTCTAGGGGCACATGGAATTATAGAATTTTAAATCTGGAAGGGGTTTCTTTATTTCTCAAGGTTGACTTTTGTTTTACTGATACTATTTATCATGGCTTCAATTTAGCTTATAATTATTTCTATAGTGCATGTACTCAGCTTGTTGCAATGGCTTCATAGTAGATTTTTTCTGTTCTAACCCACTGTTTTCTGAAGCTATGATGTCTCCCTCTCTTTTTTTTTTTCCACTTAAGGATCTATTTCAGCTGAGCTCTGCATTTCTGCCTATCATTCTAATAACTATTGAGGTTAGAGTTTGTCCCTTTTAGTCTGGCATTTTCTACTACAAACATTTTCCACTGGTTTCAGATTAATTTCATTTACCTTAATTTTAACTTCTAGAGAGTTATTTATGACCATTTTCCTTTGTTTCAGACTATTTAAGATGAAGCATAAAGTATATCTTATGCTTTCCTTTTCATGGTACAAAATCCCCAAGAATTCTCATTGAATGTATTCCAGCTCTAGGAGAAGAATTTATTTTCCTCTTTCCCTCATCTAGACAGACATGTCTATCTGATTTGAACACAAACGATAAAGTACGTTACAATTCTACAGTGAGAATCCATATCATAGGGATATCTCACTTTACCCAAGTTATTCTATAAGTTCAATTCTAGGGGGGAAAAATGATAGGATGTTTTATGAAACTAGATAATTGACTTTAAAAATGAAATGAAGATTAAAGGTCTAAATGTCATCAGGGCAATTGTGAAAATGAATAGCAAGATTAGAAAGCTGGCCCCATCAGCTATAATGACCCCATATGTAGAATACATGACATAACAGCAGAGCCAATGGGATAGAACAGAGACCCTAGCCCTCAACTGTGTGAGGTCTTCCACTGTAAAGTGGAAGAGGAGATTCAAATTGAGGAGGAAGAATAAGCCTGTTAGTATGATGCTATGACAATGTACTTCTAATTGGGAAAAACTGATTGGATCACAATTTCATACCAAATGTAACCCTGGATGTATGAAAGCCTAACGGGAATGACAAACCTTTAAATCCACTGAGCAAATTATAGATTTTTATGTCATCAGATTAGTGAAGGGATTCTTCACCCAGATGCAGGAAGTAGGAATTATTTTTTTAGAAAAGGATATTTTGACTCCAGAAATATAAAACAATCCTGAACTATAAAATATACCATAAACAGGTTCAAAGACAAGAAAAGAATGAGGGAAGATTGGTCTGCGACACATATAAAAGGCAAAAGATTCAAGTCCAGGATATGTAGTAGTAAATAATTGGTACAAGTAAACATTCAAAAGGCAAATAGACAAAGGATCAGATCAGGCAATCCCCTGAAGGATGGTAAATCAGTATTTGAAAAATCATTCAACTCTTCTAGAAAAATATAGAAATGCATAGAGAATGGGCAAAAGTAGGTTTACAGTTATAAGTGAAACAGTTCATTATTGTGCTGTTATTTAATTATTGTGCTATTTATTTGTATTACAACTGTAAATCTACTTTCCCCCCAATGCTATATTTAAATACTTTAGGGAAGAGCCAGCCGTTTCATGTGGCAGCAGCCACAGAGAAGGGGGTGAGAAGGTGGGAGATGGGAAAAGAGGTCAGTGTGGAGAGAGGGATGGGGCCCCTCCTGTCAAAAATAAACATTTCCAATAAACCTTTTCCATTCCAGTCTCTAAGTTTTTATACATATTCCCTCTGCTTGGGACACTCAATGTCCACACTGGCACATTCCTATTCATTCTTCAAGACACAACTCAGGCTCGGTCTGACGCGTTTGACAACAAAGGTGGGGATCACTGTCCCTGCCTCCTGAGATAAGAGCATAGTGTACGTCTCTCAGTCATCAACCTCTGATATTAGGTTGCAATCACTTTTTTTTCTCAAGCTCCCCTTGTGGGAGTCTTAGGGATATTTTCTCTCCAGCACCTATTTGTTGAGTGGATGAAAAAAGAGCACGAAGAGGAGAAAGCTCTATTGCTCATGGAAGATCCTGATCTTTGGCCAGCTAGAAATCACCTCTTCCTCCCTCATTTGGTGAAATACTCTGGGTTTGGGCTCAGATGACTCCAGCCAATTCCCATGACCCTATGTGAACCCGAGGAGCCTTCGCAGCTGGGCCAATGAGTCTAGAGCACAGCTCCTTGGCAAATGCTCCTACTTAATCATCCGTGATAGACCTCTGAGCTTCATGGCAGCTGGAAGTCTCCTAAGAGCTTAACAGAAAGGCACATATTACCCTTGGGCTTTTAATATTTTAGAAATCTTTATTCATTAGAATCTCAGCCATAATCCTGAAAAGCATTCAGTTGTATACTTTAAATCTCGAAAACTGGTCCCGGCTGCTCTCCTTCAGCAATGGGGTGGAGATGCTCTGGTCCTGGGGGTCCTGGTGAGAGTCTGGTGGATATGGCCCAATGCTGTGTAAGTGCCTCAGAAGAGGCAACACATGACTAACTATAAGCCATGATCCAATCCAGAACTCTGTAACTCCTTTCCATTAGAGTCAAGAGATTTCCTTAGACACTGTCATCTGGGTCTATTTCTGAAGTGCAATGCTGTGTTTTGGTCCAAATGACCAGGACAAAGTACTACCTGAAAGTTTGGTTACTGAGAGGGACTGTAAGATGCCTTTTGATTTGAAGAAAAATCTCCATACCTCCTCTATCCTGAGTTCGATCAGTAGAGAAGTTGTGCTTTGAGGGGATTATACTGTGAGGGGGAGGCAAAGTACTGGTGAAATGGGAACTTGAACTAGACTGGAGAGATTTTCTTGACTCTCGGCTTAAGGGGAAAGTGTTTGGAGTCCATCTTTTCTTGGTTTACTACTTCTTTGTTTCAAGGACTAGCTCTATTTCACAGCCACAAATCAACTTGCATTCCTTTATTCATTAGAAAGGATCATGCCATAATTATCCACTTTCTTTCATCTTAAAACATTTCATTTTCACTATTCTTTTGAATAACATGTAAAATTTATACAATTTTGGTATCCATCTGATTTGCTGGTGCTAGATATAGGGAAAGAGTCAAGAAATATACTGTGGTGTTGAGAAAAGATTAGATCTATCTAGAAAACTTTCTTGTTAATGGGTAGGAGAAAATAAATAATAGAAGTAAATAAAATAAGGCCTCCAAGACAAAACTGCAGGCGATGAGGTATTGCCCAGCTTGATTCACTCATTCTAACTCTGATCATACTTGCCCTATTACTGTTGAGGTTTGTTTCATATTTACACATGATCATGCTTTACACAATTATGTCAGCCTCGACCAAAATATAACCCCTCTGGGACACACTTGAGATGTACATAGCTTGTTCCCTCAAGCATTGAGGGTAAATATAATCTCCTAAGATTCTGGGAACCAAACTGGCTTTGAGTTCTCTGGGTTACCATGAGATCCCAAGGGGTCACAGCTACTAAAGGGGCAGAGTATAGGGTTATCTAGATCTGCACCTAGGACTTCTTCTAGTCCTTATTACTGAGCTTTCTTAACCCATGCTCTGTCTCCCCCAAGATTAAATCACCCCATAGAAAAGGAAAGAGCTCTGATGGGGGTGCTGCTTATATTTCTTTTACCCAAATCCCCAGGAGCAAGAGGCTTGCTTTCCTGCCTGGTGTACAATCCTCTCCTCTGCCTCACCACCACCCTGATCTCTAATTACCTCATCCCCCTGGTGTCTGGCACCTGCCCATGGCACCTCAATCAGCCTCTTTCCCTTCTCCCACAGGAGTGGATATGCTGGGCCTTGGACTCAGTTTGGATTTTCTGTTAAAACACACGTGCATCATCTGCACTTTGCCTTGTAAACTGATTTTCTGGTTTGAAATCAGCCCAGTAGCTACTCCCAGAATAATCGATCCAGGGTGGTGTGTCCATATTCAGACCCTTGGCTTCCTCTCAACCCCGAGGACCTAAGTGGACTCCTGGTCACCGCCAGAAGTAGGGTGTTGGTTGGGGAAGTGGCAGAGAATGGATCCAATTCCAGCATCTCTCCACCCTGCAATGTGTAAAATATCTCATTTATCTGTGCACTGGTTTAAGAGTTACTGATCTTTAAAGCCCAGCTATGGAATCCTGATGTTCTCTTCAGGTAGGGATGGTTCTCCCAGCCATTGTGAATGAAGCTCCAAGGAAAAAAATAAAAACTCATAACTCAAATATAAGTGGTGCTGGGAAATGTTCCATTGGACTCTGTTGTGGATTGTTTTTAATTTTTTTATTTTTATAAAAACCAATTTGTTTTAACACACAATAGCTGAGCAAACTATAGCCACAGAAAATTGAAATGCTCATTTTAGAAATCAGTGGATGTGA